TGCTAGTGTTTTTGAAAGGATTTTACATAGGAAATCTATAATGTCCTATTAATAAATGAAGGAAGCATATGAATAATAAAATATAAGTTTTACCATTTTTGTCTGATGTGCGCTCACCAAAAAGAACACGATACTTGCATCTCATTTGGCATTTCAAAAAGCTTTCGGATCAAATATAATCTCGAAGAATCCGGTGGCTCAATTTTTATTACATTCAGACTAACTGAAAGCTTTGAAATCTACTGTAAAGGATTCTGCCAGCATTCGACGGAATTCGATAGGATCTCACATAGATATATTTGATCTAGATATGTATTTGATTTCTGCTTCTCATGCATTTAGTTAATAGACTTTTGTTCTATTGGAGAAAGACAATATAATTGAACAGCTAAGCTCTTTTTCAAGAAAATCTTTTAATTACGAACATCTAGGGAAGAGAATCGACCAAAAAAGGAAACGTCCCACGGTCTGCGAGAGAGAGAGAGAGAGAGAGAGAGAGAACTTAAAAAAAACAAAGCGATTTGTGACTCACCATGATATTCAATGAAAAGATAGCAAGACGAGTTTTGATTATGCTTTTGTAATCTTATCAATTGCTAATGATTTGAAAGGATGATAAAGTAATATATCTTTCCTACTATGTAATATTATTGTTAAAAGTTTATAAAGAAACTTTGAAATATATAATATGCATAACATACTATTATCCGAAAGTTAAGATAACTTCTAATAATAAGATAAAAGAGAATCTCTTTTAAATGCGTGTTATTACATAGTGATATTTTTAAATAAAAATTTTGATTGAATTTATTGTTTCAATCGATATTTAATTGCTTAACATTGATGAAAGCATATAGACTGGAAGTGAAAGATTTTTTTAATAGGAAAGGATTATTTATAGATCATAAATATTAGGAGACTTTTATCTGGAATAAATGAAAATGAAATAATAATGTTTATTTTTCGATCTTGATTACAGAGAAAAAAGATCAATGTTGAATCGATGAATCTGATAGTTTAAGTGTTGAAAAATAAAAATGAAAGAAACAATGTTTAATTAATAACTAGATCTAATGATAATAAGCAATATTGTATATTGTCAATAAAAAAGAAAAAACTTTTCACATTTTGGATAGATAATAGAAATATGTATCAATGATTAAATGGTTCCATTATTGTTGTTTGAACTGCTTCTGTTATTGGTTCCATCCATGTCAACATATCTAGTGAAGGTTTTTTGTGAATTAAAAGACTTTCTAAAGTACGAGCTCATAATGTACCAAGAATCTATCGTGTATTTTTTATACGTAGTCCTAGATAAACATAGAATTTTCCCCATATTTAACGATATACTCTGTTGAAATTTAATGATGATCCATTTTTCAATGTATAATGAAAATAAATTTGACCTTTATGTTCGTATTTTTTCTTTACTTCAATTGGTTCATCATTACGTTTGATTTTTGTTTCATTTTCTCTCCTCATTGGTCTATAAAGTAATTTATGACATAGTTGTTGATATGCTTCATTATTTAATTCAGTTCATACACTCATAACGTCATATTATTCAAAGAAATTTTGCATATGATATTGTATAAATCTTGTTGGAGAACTATTGAGTGATAAAATTATTTGTGTGCTTAAATGTTCCATATTAAAATCTTCTACAGTTGAATAAATACGAGTTGCTCGAAGTAATACACTATGAGTTATATTAGGATGTGAATGTAAGGGTGTCGGTGTGTCGCTCGTGCAAATTTTCTCTTCGCTCTCAACCATCTAAAAAAAAACTTTGAAAGGCATACGATTGGTACGGCGAGCGCTCGTACATTTTAAATGTATGTTGTTTTTTTCATTCTGTTCCGATTATGTGCTTCTCGGCAGCCATAGAATTCCGACCACTCAAAAACTGTATCCTATCGGATATTCATTTTCGACTGCTCAATCACTGTTAGATCCCTTGGTACTCATTGAAATTTCGAGTACTCGAGAAAAGAAACTTATCGGAAGCAATATATTGAGTAATCCAGTAGAAACAGGCCTAGTAAAATAAAATTTTTAAGTAGTGAAGTTAATTTTGATTTCGTGAGGTTTCTTCAAAAAAAGTGATTAAGAAATGTCTCTTTCATTCGTCTATCTTAGTAAGGTGATTTATGTTCGACATATATTTTCCTTAATTTCATTACTTTCTAAAAAATATTTAATATTGACTAATGTACAATCACAAGTAAGACCGGACTTCATTAATATTTTTTACGAAAAACAGTAATATAGAATTTTAGAATTCATTCTAGAATGTCCCTGGAAAAAATGTCCTTGACGAAAGGATGTGGGTGTAGATATTAATCTTCTCCGAGTTCATTCTCGCACCTACTCCACCACCATCCACGCCCATTTAAATAATAGAGGATATCTTTTTGAAAGAGCATACCGCTAAGGACGATTTCTAAAGGACATTTTTTCAAGGACGAAGAGTTGCGACATTTCATCAAGGACATTCTAGGCTATTACCAAATTTTGCATTTTGAATGTTTGAAGTATTTTTATATTACTTTTATACTTTATCACACAAATCAGTTGTTTACCAAATACTATATTTATCAAATAAACTTCTTACACGGCATCGGAAACTCAAAAAAGTCTTTTTTGTAGTTAGAGACATGCAAAAAGTATTTTTCTTGCATTAAAAGATTTTTTTTTATTTTCAAAACTGCTAACCAATGTTAAAGTAACAGTCGTCAAAGTACCGTCCTTCTAATAATTGGAAAGATAATTTTCATAGAAGAGCAATAGTTCATATTTAGCTTAGATGTTCGACAAATGTTAGCCATAAGTGTCCATGCTCGAATCTTTTGCTTCACGTTTATTCGATAGGTTTCGACAGCTCAAAAAAGAGACATCTATAGAAAAAAAAATCCTTTTTATTTTGCTTAAGTTTTGATTTCCTCGGTAAAAAATCGTTCGGCTGGTCGAAAACTCACCGTTTTATAAACTTATCACCGAATACTCAGCCTATCGCAAAATGAGAATACGAGGATCCGTTTAAAATTTCGATGCACACGACAATCTTAAATCGACGCATCGAAATGCCTATCAGATGGATTGTGGGAATGCTCACACTCACACCAACACCTTCTTTTCACTTTCACTGACGATATATAGTGAGTAGTTGCCATTGTTTGATTTTTTTTCTTCTTTTTACCCCTATTCACTAGGTTCTTCTTATTTTCAGATATTTATGTCAAACTTTTCAATACCACTAGACGTCTTTTAGTATTGAAAATAACTATCATGAATTCTCAATTAAATGACTCAAATTATAGCTCAGATAGAATATGGTGGAATCCTTGGGGAAAATTTTCCAGACGCTCTGTTGTTTATATCTCTCTCTTTATAGTCATGCTGATTATCCTTGTTCTTATTTTCATTGAGAAACCTCAAACCAAGTATTATCAAGATTTTTCGACAGAATCCAAGCCGACATCATTCAATTCGTTGCATACATTGGCAAAGCAGCTTAAAAAGTTCTATCGTGTATCGGAAAATAGAGACGTATTAGCCGAAGATCTCAAACTTAATGAAACATTACAAAGTAGAGCAAAAAATCGCCATAATCGCTACTATTTAAATGATTTTGAATATTTCCGAATGATTCGAAACGAATTTCCTCAAACAAAATCTGCTGCAAAACTTGGATATGTTACAGGTGTCGAACCTCTTCTGCCAACAGCATTGGATCCTAAAGATGTGTTATTCATTGTAATGGGCAGCGTAAAATATGTTCATAAGGCCAAGCTTCTCACAGAAACATGGTTGCAGTGGACACAAGGAAACTTTTTCATCTTTGCTGATGCTGCCAATGCCAGTATTCCTTTAATAACTTTGCCTAGACTTGAAAAAAAACCTTCTAGAGCCGATGCACAGCATCGACAACTGTTAGGATCACAATGGTTAATTAGGAACAAGTCTCAATTGGTTAAGAGGATAAAATGGTTTGTGTTTGCAGATGACGATACGTGGATTAACGTGCCGGCCCTTCTATCCTATCTTCAATTCTTTGATCATCGGCTGCTATTGTCGATTGGATATATTGCAGACGATATATGGGTGAGAAGATGGGCCTACTGTTCTGGAGGTAGTGGTGTTGTCTTTTCGCAAACTGCATTCATGTCAACTATGCCTGCAATTTATACGGAAGAATGTCCGTTCCGATCATTGAATGATATCACGTTCATGCACTGCCAAAAAAAGAAAGGAGTGACTAAAATTCATTCGGATCGATTCTTTTATGACAATGCACATATCGTCAGAGGGGTCCATTATCTCACACCCGTTTCTTACGTTGGAAAATTGACTCTTCACTACATTAATAATGCCACGATTGCTAGAAGAATGACGTGTGATGTCGCTGCTTATTGGAAATGGCCGATAAAAGGATGCGACGGTGTCAAGCGAGATGACATGCCCCATCTGCGTGTGTAACAGACGAATACTACCAATAAGATCAACGACTAGAACAGACAAATATTCGTATATATATGTAAATTTTTTCAGAATATAAATGTGCCTGAAAGCATTTTTAGAAAAGGTTTGGAGAAAATGCGTCTACATGCATCAGATGTTTCATTTTAGCTGCGTTTCAATGCGTCTAATTTGCGTTTGGTTCTTACATGGCTGATACATCTCTATAAATGTCTTATCATAATGAAGAAAAAACTGACAGTTCATCAGAAGGTAATTCACTCGTCGTTAGATTGAAAAAGAGAATGAAACAGAACATGAGTGGGTGTGTGAAAACTACTATCTAAAGTACGACTTCGACAAGAATCGCAGATTCTTCATTAGGGAAAAGTCGATTTTTTTTCAGACTTGAGAATATCAAAGCAGTCGACTTGAAATATAATACCAAGCTAAAACCTGAAATAATATAAGCCAAAAATTCAAAGTACAAACGTCTGAAAACTCTAAGAAATCAACAGTTGAACAGTAGAGCTCATCATTCATCGATTCTAACACGGAAATACTATTAAAACTTTTGTAAATTTTCGATTGATCTTATCGATTGCTTTTCAGACAGTTTGACTGGTTTTATGTCAGGGAAAGAAAGCATTGTTTCGAAACGGACTCTATGACACTTCTTCTTCCTGCTGGTTCACAGACTATCCAATAGGAAACCAAAAGCAATTCTTAAGTTTCTTCCGTGGCTTGTTTCGTATCCTTTTCACTTTAATTTTCACTATTATTTTGGGTGCGGTCAACTAAACTTTGAAGAACTATTATAATATCGAATAGAGATTAATTAAGAGATGTTATCTTAAAAAATTAAAGATTTTGTGTGCATCGAAGAATATGGAGAATTACAGATTTCGATTTCATTTATATCGAAAGATACCTCACATGGTGTCATATCCGAATCCATAAATTTCATTATCGAAAATTACCTTCTAACATCTCTGAGTCGAAAACTCGAGAGAAGAGAATTTATTGAAAATATTAGAACAACAGAAACAAGGTTGCAAGATCTCTACTCATGCATTTTCTGTATAAGAGCATGATTTAAATCTCGCCGACACTGGTCAATCGTATATGCTATTAGTAGTGTCTAGTAAAGCTACCAAAGAAGATAAAAAAGAACAAAATAAAATCATGCGCGTATTGTAGCTATGATTTTATTTGTCATAATCAAATAAAACTATGACGCACAGAAGAATAAAACGGATACTTAATGTTTCCAATACTCAGAATTCTGTAGCATATTCATCCTTGAAAAAGTATGAAGAGTACAATTAAAAATATAAATCTTGCTCTTCTTTCAATATAATCCCAGGAGAATTTCAGGAAATACAGTTTTATCACAAGTAGCGCCCATCTTGCGGATTCGCTGACTGTTTTTTGAAAGAATGCCATTTTATTCTGAATAGGAAACAGCTCACCATGGTCTAACAAGACTTTGCCCTGAAGAAAAGTTTCTTTTTTTTAAGTAATTGAGTCGATCAAAAACTGTTTTGCATAAATAAAAGAAATATTTTCTGTGAGCAGATATGTGTATTTATTTGTCACCTTGTTTTAGAACTCATCTGAAGAATAATACTAATTAGATGATTATTGACATTGAATAATGTCAAAATCAAGTCTTTAAGTAAAAGAAACTCAACAATGTAATAATATACTTACTTAGAGCTCTAATAGAATAAATCAATTTGAACTTATTGATAGATAAACGAAGAACTAAATTCAGTCGCAACGATTTCAGAAGAAATGATACAAACCTATGACCTACAATATAAATAACGAGGATGTGGGTGGATGTGTCGCTTGGACTGTTTCGACACTCACATCACACTCACCCTCGAATTCAAAGCAAGTATAATTTTGATCACTCTCATGCATGTAATCAATCTTGGTAACGGAATGTTTTTCATGCTTACGCTTCTCAGACCAAATCCTCGCT